ACCGACAGTCGGCCGACAGGTTTTTTGGGGAGCTCTTCTTCACAATTACCGGAATTTCTAGAGTATGGGTAGGCAGGATAAAAGTCAAGAAGGCATGTCATACATCTACTCTCTTGTTATACACAGACAATACTGAGATGCATTCCAGCTTGAATAATATTGATTTAGCTGTGTACAATGTCAACAAGGATCTCAAGAGTGTCAGACATTGGTTTTGTAGGAATGGCCCCATTTGTAATACAAAAAAGTTGGAAGCCATGATTATTGCGTTCCACAAAGCACTCAAAACCAACTGGGATATTAACATTTTTTACAGAGACTCATTATTAAAACAGCAGAGACATTTTAAGAATCTTGGTGTGGCGGTAGACAAGTCATTATCATGGAACAATCATGTGTCATATGTTTCCTTGAGAGTTTATCCTAAACTGAAACTTTTGAATAGAGTTTCATCTTTAGCCATGCTGTTTTTATTGAAGATTTAACTATTTCAGACTTTAGCTGCATTGTATGGGGTTTTTGCAGCAAGTAAAACTCTGATTTTCTGGAAAGTTTGTAAAACAAAGCAATGCAAATAATTTTAAGAACAAATCACTTAACGTGCACACAGTCAATGAGGGAGAGACTTGACCTGTTAACATTATCTTACAGGTGCCATTATTTACGTCTCCAACTAGTATATAAAATGGTAAATGATTATCACTGTCTCAGACAACTTCAAGGATATTTTGCATTGAGATCAGAACTGATCTGAAATGTATAAAAGAGCTATGGGCCAGCCAACATTCGCGTATGCCACTGCAAAGGAATGGAATGACCTCCCCAAAGAACTGCATGCTTGTGAAATGCTGAGAATTTTTTAATATTAAAACTTTTAAACTTTTGATAGAATCAGACAAGGCACAACACAAATGTAATGTATAAGTTTCTTTTATCACTGTAAATATTTTTTGGTAAATTTTTAATTTAATCTTAACTTGTATCGATAGTGAATTGTATTTTTAATAGTATTTTATGTACTGATCACAGGTTTATACCAGCCTTTTTTATGATGAATCTGCTGATCAGTTTTTTCAGTTTAAATAAAGTATTTATTATTATTGGCCAGTTGAAAAGATGTAAAAACCAACTTAATATCAATGTTGTTACAATAAGGTTTAGCAAATTGGTGAACCTTTTTGCTTGACAACAGAAAAAGGGCCAATGTAAGGTAATAGTTAGTAGTAGTGTCTAAAATGGAGACTAGGGGATTGCGCTAATTATGGGTGAGGGTGAGATACCAATTGACAACCCTTTCAAGCAGATGGGCTGAAAAAAGATTCTTTTTAAGGATTTCAATGAGTTTCTTAATGCCTTTGTGGAAACCCAACCATGAGTTGTTGATCTTGTAGGCTCTATCAACAAAAGTGCAAACGTGGCCCAGTTTGTAGGGATAAGGTATAAAGCTTAAATAATTAGTCAACAGGCCTGTAAAGTTGATTAAAACATTGAGGAACAGTATTTTGTGATCTGTTTGTTTTTCCCAGTGAACCTAATGTTGGGATGTGTGGAGTTTACATAATTGACAATAGTAGCACATTGTTTTGCAAGTAAAATAAACGAAAGGTATTGTCAACAACAATACCTCTGAGCCTTGCCAATTTTCCAACCATAAGTTTCATGATATCCCATTAACAGATTAACAAGAACAGGAGTGAGGGGAGAACCCATAGCCACACCATCTAGCTGGTCATAGAAAGACCCTTGACTAGGAAATGGGTCTGAGTGGTGGCTATGGAGAAAAAGCTTTTAAGCTCGGTGCTACCTAACTTGAACTCAGAGTTGCCATCAGAAATGTACCCGACTGCAAGGTCAACGCATTCTTCAAGGGGTATGTTTGTAAAAAGACCCTCTACATCAAATGAGATCTTAAATTTGCTGGACAAAGATAAACCTTTGATGTCCTGGACGAAGGTGAAGGAGTCCAAGGTACACTGTTCCATTGGAATATGAGGTGTATGGAGATTGCACAGATATTTAGCTAGGTCATAGTTCTATGTTCCAATAGAGGACACAAGGGGCCAAAATGGCAGGATTGAATTATGTCCCTTTTCCTTGGGCATTTTTGGTAACCCGTAAATCCTTGCTGATTGTGAGCCTTTGGGACAGATACTGTAAACATCGCTGTCAAGGTGACCAGTTTTCTTTAATTTTCTGATGGGTCGTTGTAGTCTGCCTCCTCTCAGTAAAGTAGGATCCTCCTTGAGAGGTCAAAATTTGGACATGCTGCTGATGATTTTTAATGTGCCGTGGTTATAATCAGGTCCATCTAGAATGGCAACCCCATTTCCTTTGTCTAGCTTTAGGATGACAATGCTTTTGTTTCTCCTTAGCTCCTTTAAGATATACTATACTGCATATACCATACTATATGCAAAGCATCTGTGCAAATTTAACATATATGTGGGTGAACATAGAGTGAGTTAGAAATTGAGGACCCATCTTTTGCCAACACATGTCAATCATGATATTTGAATTTTCCCCTACTAGGAGTGGATAAAATAATGCAGAGTCGAATCCATAGAATATGACAAGATTTTTCATCTTCCATGTGCTTTTTTTTTCCATCACATCCCACATTTTACACATTTTCAGTCCCCCATGAGGTGGTGCACCTGGGGCTTCACAAAGTCACACGACAGTCAGCTCAAATGTCACAAATCAATTCAGTCGTCTCTTCATCCTCCCCCCTGAAGAGCACCTCTGGTTGTCAGCTCTTCTCTCTATGTCACATTCTCTTTGTGCCCTGAGATGCTCAATGGACACAGTCAGCTCATCAGAATTACAGTCAACTCACCGACGCCAACTCGCCGACATATAAAATTGGGTAGAGATGTTGGTGAGTTGGTCCTCAATCCAATACAACTTATTAGAAGTTAAACATACAGAAAAGTAAACGATAGTTAGTAAAAAAACACTGGTGAACATTGGTGAACATCAAACAGAAGCTTAAACATTGTTGAACATTGGTGAACATCACCAATGACCCTAACAGCTTCAGACGCGAACGAGTTATAACTCGTTTGCGTCTGAAGCTGTTAGAGTCATTGGTGATGTTTATCTTGTGAGTGATAAACGAGTTATTGTGTGACAACAACACAGTAAAGACTCATCATGTCAATTGCTCAGATTTTTTAAAGAAAACTTGGCTTTCTAGACAACATCTTTAATAAGATCCTCTTACTACACTACCATCATTACTGAAAACTCAAGTGATCAACGGGTTTTGTTTAATACAGTATCAAAACTACTACAAAAGCAATCAACTGCACGGTATCCATCTTCTTGTAGTGATGCACTAGCTAATTCTTTCGCTGGTTATTTCATTGACAAGATTGATCGTATCCATGCCACACTAATAGAGAAGAATTCTGCACAAGGTAATGATGCTAATGAAGTGACTCTTGGTAACTACGTGGAATGTAACTCTGTGTTTTCAGACTTTATTAATGTCAGTTACGAAGACATTAAGGGACTTGCATTGAGATCTATTAATAAATCCTGTGTACTTGATCCTCTGCCTGCAGTGGTAATCATGCTTTTGGCAGTTTTAAGTTGGACTGCGCGTATGACGCTGTCATTGCCAGGGTACACTTCATTCACTATGGCCAGCGGGCATGTTCCACGATTCTTGCTGTCAGTTTTCACTATGACGACGTCTCCATTCTTAGGTTGGAACTTGCTCACTGTGTGTGTCAGGTTGTGTCTTTCTCTTAGTGCTGTAAGGTATTCTCTTTGCCATCGACTCCACATTTTGTCCTTACAGGTTCGCAAATACTTTGCACGTCTCCTGATGTCTTGGTCTGTTATCCTCCAGGTCTCCTCTTCTGGTAACTGGTTTGTTCGCTGGTACAAGAAGGTTCAAGGCGTTAAGATTGGTAACTCGACGTCATCTTCCGCATAGCTCAATGGGCGGCGATTAATCTGCGTTTCAAAGTAGCACCTCACTTAGCTCAGGCCAGGTTAGAGTAGCTCCACCAATAGTTTTGTACAGGGAGGATTTCACGACTCCAATTAATCTCTCGAACTGACCCCCCCACCAAGGGGCGCGGCTCAAGTTGAATTTCCAGGTAATTTCGTGTTGTTCAAGAAGACCCTGGAGACGCTCATCTTACCGTAACTGCCGTAGCCATTTTTCGGCTTCGATGAAGGTACCGCCATTATCTGAGTAGATGACCCGTGGTCGTCTGCGACGAGCGATGAAACGCTTGAGACAAGTAATGAAGTTGTCTGTCTCCAGGCTGGCCATTAACTCTAGGTGTATAGCCCTTGAAAGGCTGCAAGTGAAGATAGCCAGATAGGAGTTTCCTTGACTTTTCTTTCCCTGTTTGTACTTCACTGATCCAGCGAAATCTGTGCCGATGATTTCAAATGCCGCGCCGACTGTGGTCCGATCTTCCGGTAACTGACCAGGAATTGGGTTTCTTGCTGGAGTTGCATTGAATCTCTTACAACCATAGCACTTGCTTCGGACCGACTTGACCAAACTTCGAAGTTTCGGTACCCAGTACCTCTCTCTTACTGCTGCCATTGTCAGCGCGACTCCCCCATGCAGTGTCTCGCAATGAACTTGTTGGACCAGTTTTTCTGTAAACTTTTCACGGTTGGGTAGGTATATCAGAGTTTGCCCCTGTATCCGGCCGTGGCATGTCATCACTCCCTCTGCATTGGGTTTCAGGTTAAGTTGACCGCTAATCTGAGGGTAACCCGTGGTTTCTCTGTCTCGCCGTTGGACTCGCTTAATCCACCATCTACGTACATCTTCTATTTCTTCAGTTAGTAGAGGCCCAAGTTTCTTGTCTTTATGTTTGCAGTTATGAATGAATCTCTTCAGCCACGCGCCGACTCTCAAGGTCCATCGCAAACTAGTGCGTTCCAGGAGTTCATCGAATTCGTCTGGTTCTGATTTGGTTTGTGCTAGGTTGAGCATTTCCCTAATGACTTTGGCCTCAACTTCTGATGCTGGTGAGGATCGAGTGACTGGGTTGATTGGCCACTTGGAGTTGTCTTGAAGCCACTCCGGTCCCTGTTGCCAAAGTGCTGAGTGTACTGGGGTGCCTCTGCTCGCTAGGTCTGCTGGGTTTTCATCAGTGGGCACGTACCTCCACTCAACCTCATTGTGTAGTTGTATTTTGGCAACTCGATTCGCGACAAACTGTTTATACTGGCCATTTCCCTTGAATGAAGTGCGACGGTGCTGTCTAACCATCCGAACATCTTTGGGGAGGGAACGTTGTCTAGGGCGTTGCGTACGTTTACTAATAGATTGGTAGCCATGTGCGCTGCAATCAACTCTAGGCGTGGAATAGTCAGTCCCTGTTTGGCAAGTCGGCTCTTGGCGACCACTAATCGTTGAGTGTTGCCTGATGGTTGACGTACAACTGCACAAACTGCCGCTCCTACTCCTCGTTCTGACGCGTCCCCAAAAGAGTGTAGTTCCACTTCTTGTAATGCTTCTTGATAACTTGCTATCGATCGCGGTACTTGCTGTTCACGAGGTAATTGTTGCTCCCATTTTTTCCAACGGTGTAGGAGCTCTCCGTTGATCTTCGTATCCCATTGTACTTTGGCCTCACACAACTCGCGATAAATCTGCTTAGCGGTGAGAGTTAACAGTGCAATCAGGCCTAAGGGATCATAAATCTTGGCCATCTTTCCCAGAATGCCTCGCTTGGTTGGCTGGGTTTCTTCTTCGGGTATCACTACCGCCAAAGTGTCTTGCTCTTTGTCCCACTTGAGTCCCAACATCTTTGATTCACTGGGTTTCACATTTAGTTGTTGTTTAGCAAATGACTGTTCTTCAGGACTGACGGTCAGGTTTGTATCTTCCTCTAGCTGTTT